TTTAAAAATTTATTTAAATATTTAAAGAATTATTTAAATATTTAAAAAATTTAGCCCAGGTTTTACTTCACACCTTTTTGCTTTTTATTTTTTTTAATATATATTTTAAAAATTTATGTGTTTGACGGTACTGCCTGCATGTGTGTAAGTACACCTATGTCATGCAATGTCTGGGCTTCAGAAACCCCTGGAACTGGAATTATGGAGTTAGCTGCCATATGGGTGCTAGGATTTGAACCCAGGTCCTCTGCAAGAGTAGCCAGTTCTCTTAACCACTGAGTCATTTCTCCAGCACCCTCATTTGCTAAAAATAATATAATAGCAGTTGTATACTGGACATGGTGACACGTGCCTTTAACCCCAGCACTCAAGAAACAGAGGTAGGCCCATTTTTGTGAATTTGAGGCCAGTCTGGACTACATAGTGAGTTTTAGGGTCAACCAGGGCTAAGTAGTGAAACCCTGTCTCCAAAACAAACAAACAAACAAATGACAATCAAATTTGTTCCCTAGACTACTCCAGTGATTTCTCCCAAGGCTGAACTTGGCAGTTCATAATCTGACATTTGTTTATTCTGGTAAAGTAAAATAATAGTGAGCTGCATTTAAAAGCCAAGTATGATATGGACACCAAAACACTGCACTGGAACAATATAGTATTTGTTTCAAGGGAGAAAATGAATTCTATAATACTTCTGGAAAACTTGAAGGCAGTTAACTAAGTCTCTTTTATTTATTTATCTAATTTCTTTGTGTTGATTTGCTTTTAATTTTCTTTATTTTTTATTTTCTTTAAATATTTTTATTAATTTTCTGAGAACTTCATACAATGTATTTTGAATATATACCCTCCCCAACAACTCCTAGATCTACTCCCATCTCCTTAGCCATCCAATTTTGAGTTCTTTATTTTCCCCCTATCTAATCCAAGTCCAATATGTGTTGTTCAAATACTCTTGGGTATGGAACCTGTCCCGGATTGTGGTCGACCTACCAGGGGTCACATCATCAAAGAAAACTGATTCTTCCTCTGTCAGCAGCTTTTTATGTGTATGCATATGTGATGTGTGTATAAACATTCAGGTTTTTGAGACAAACACTTAATCCATTGAGCCATAAACCAAGTCTCCATAAATCTATTTTAAAATCTCATAGCACATAACAGGTAAACCACAAAGAAAATGTTCAAATAAAACCTTACCAATGAAACAGCATAAATAAAATGAAAATGTTCATTATCCAAATGTAATGTATCTAAACTGACTTGTTGAATTCAGTACTACAAGTTACTTTTCTATAAGTTTCAGATATATAAATTTGAACTTCAGGGGCCAGCAAGATGGCTCAATGGATAAGAATGCTTGTGCCAAGCTAGATGATCTGAGTTCAATACCGAGAACTCACAAGGTGGAGGAGGTATCCTGCTCTTGCATGCTGTCCTCTGACCTCCATATACACACTGCAACATGTGTTCAAGTATGTCCATGCACATAAGTGTTCACAAGCATACACACACACACACACACACACACACACACACACACACACATACACACACAAATGCACACATAAAATGTAAAATTAACCCGAGGGAATGGATGTATAGAACAGTGGTAGAATATGTGCTAGCATTCATGTGGGCCTGTGATTCTTATCCACCACCCCTCCTCAAAAGCTTCACATATGCAAAAAATAGTATTTGTAAGTATATTACATTCACTTACCTGGTAAGCCAGGCTCCCCTTTCTCTCCTTTTGAACCCATGAAATCTGGATCTATTGGTCCAGGAGGCCCTGGAAGTCCAGGCTCTCCTTTACCACCTTTTGCTCCTGCAGGGCCAGGAAGACCTGGCTCACCTTGCAAGCCATCATCACCTAAAAGCAGTATGTAGGGAGAAGACAAACAAATAAAATTTATCTTTCCATGATTACTGCATGTAAAAAACTATATGTTTCATAAGTTTGTAGATTGCTAGCTACTCAAAAAATCTATGTAACTTAATTATGGCCTATGAATTATTTGAGCACATACAATCTAAACTCAAATGATGATTCCTCTGCTTTCTGGTATCATTTGACAATAATAAAAACAGACTATAAGAAAAATTTGAATTTCAATCATTAGATCATCGGCTAAGCAACTACAGTGGTTTAGGTACATAAAGCTACTGTGTCAACAAACTAAAAACAAAATCACTTTAGTTGGCATGGCACTATAAAGCAAAACCCAAGCAAAGTAGTAAAATATATATATTAACGGATAGCAATGTTTAATTTTCTTTGTCATACTTATCTGCCAGTAACTCTGAATCTTACCTTTAAGACCAGGAACACCACTCCTGCCAGGAATTCCCAAAGGTCCTGGAGGGCCTGGAGGTCCCATCATACCCATTTCACCTTTGGTACCTTTGAAGAATATCAGTCAGTGACTTGTGTTTTTAGACTTTGGAATGATAACACATAATTTTAAGATGTCAACTGGAAAACTATTTAGGAGTGAAGAGAAAGCACTATGACATTTTACGCTTTCTCATTTGCTGTAAGCTCAGTGCCCATTATGCCAACTCCCAGGCATATAGACACACATTGAGGGATCTAATCTCCAAAGGAGGCCTCCAAATGAAACATACTTCTCCATTTACACATCCCATTGTAGCACTCTCCCCTGGAATATGTGATGACTCTGTGCTTTGCCCTTGAAAACAAGAAACAATACAGCTCCCAGGTTCCCAAGACTAGATCATAAGAACTCTTGCATCTTCTACCGGGGTCTCCTGGAGCTCATTTTTGTCTCCTTAGTATCTTTCTTTGGAAAGCCACTTGCTATAGAAGGACAGCAACTACTCAGATGTGAGGAGCATAGCCCATGAAGAGGTACTGTGAATGATGAGAAGCAATATGAGCCAAAGAACATCCAAACTCCTAAGACAGTGAAGTGCTCCAGTCATTCTTGTTGGGGTCATATGGATTACAGAAAAATAATCCAGTACTCTGTGGGCTGCATGATGATTACCCTGAAAAAGCATGTCTACTGGTATAATAGTGGCACACATGTTATAGGAACAACCAGTCACTTTCTGATTGGATTTAAGGCCCACTCTACAAGATCAAACCCACAAATGACACCATTATTGGGGTGAAGAACCTGTGGCAACCACAGGTTCTAGGTCATAGGTGAGAACCTACAACTATTATTCTGTTAAATAAGCATAATATTAAACTGACTTATCATTATACCAACTGATTATTGCATCTGTTAACCCTCATCAGAAAAGGTACTTTCACAGCAGATGGTGATTAACACAAAGACATATAGCTAGTCAATTTGCCTCAGAGAATAAGAGGATTCAGAGTGTTCAGTCCTAAATAGTACATCTATATCACACCCTCTCCTCCTGAGGCCAAGGGATCATTGCAGAAGAGGGGCCAGAAAGATTTTAAGAGTCAGCGCTGGTAGATGACTACAAGGAAACAATGGACCTCACATGGCAGGTGCACATATGAAATTACAGTGGTTGTGACAAAATTCACAAGACTTGCTTATGGTCAAACCAGACAAAATTCCAGCTTGGAGAGGGCATGGTGGGCAAGTCATCCCACCCCTAGCTGAGAAACTATTTGCAATTGATAGCTTCTAGGAAGGAGCAAATTAGTCTCTTTTTAAGAGTCTGGCACCTGGTAGGCTGACCACTCTCTCCAGCAGACACCCACGCACCCAAGAGAATATGGGCAGCACAAATTGAACTTAATCTTTAAATTGATATTTTATTAATAGAGAACTGCATAAAATGTATTTTGATCAGATTACCCCCTCCCACAAATTCTCCAAGCTCCACCTCACATCCAACCCACCCAACTTTGTGTTCTTTTTTTTCTGTATTGAGTTCAATACGTGTTGCCCAAATATCTTCAGGTGTGGAACCTGCCCTGGATTGTGGTAAAGCAAGGGACACAACCTTAAAGAAAACGAATTCTTCCTGTCCCAGCACCTATGAAATGCTAATAGCTCCTTGGGATGGCATGGGACAAAAAGATTGTAAAAGCCAGAGGTGGTGGACGATAACAAGGAAACAGTGAATTCCATACATCAGGGCAGTTGCACATAGGCGCTCACAGCAATCATGACAAGAAGACCTACTTAAGCTCAAGCCAAACAAAATTGATGAATTTTAATAAAAGATGACACAATGTTGGGTGGGTAGGAATGGGTGTTGGACCTGGGAGAACTTGGAAAAGGGGGCCAGATATGATCAAACTATACTGTTTGAAATTGTCAACGAAATAATAAAAATATTTTTAAGCAGAAATAAACCCAGGAAAGTGATTCACTTATTTCTACCAGAATATTAAGCAATTTTTGCATTTTTTGTTGAATTTTTGTACATCTCATACAATAAATCTTTATCATATTTAGAACTCCTTCTTCAGAGAAAAATTTTAAGTTGCTTTAGACCATCATATTTGATGTCATTTGTCATTATATATAACTGGAACTGTCACATGGCAAAAGTATATTACAAACAGCAAAGTGAATTTCCGACTATTAAACATTTAACATTTTTCCTTAGCAACATCCAGCTACAAAATGGCGATACGAAAATAGACTGCCAGATTCATATTAATTTCCTAGATTCATAATCAGACAAATTATTAAATAAATTACCTGGAAATCCAGAAACACCTGCTTTTCCTGGAAGACCTGGTGATCCTGGAGGCCCTATAGGACCAGGTGCTCCAGGGGTCCCTGGACTACCTCTTTCACCAGGAGGTCCTGTAACATCAAACCCAGGAGGCCCTGGATCTCCCTTCTCTCCTGGTATTCCATTCAAGCCTAGTTAAGAAAACATGTTAGGATGTATTAAAGCAGTTTTAAAAGATGTATCTGGTTCTTTTTCTAGCAAAGAAGTGATACAACCTTGGGTATAACAAACCTAAGAGTACATTAGCAGATGTACTTTTAGCATCATGCACATGAAATGACAAAAGGAAATAATCAAACTTAAGAAATTTAATTATACATCCTTAATACAGTGTTTCTCAAATTATTTTTGGTAACACACCACTTTTATTAATTCTTAGTTCATTCTGAACTGTTTGAAATACAATAAAAGTGATAAAACATGAAGCATAAAACAAAAAACATAAAACAAATGTCATTTATTGTTATTATTAACAAAGAGCATTGTAACATCCCATACCTATACAATTTCCTGAATGCTTACACTCAATCTTTGTCTTTATCTCATCATAGATTATTAACAGTTTATTTGACACTGGATGACTGACCACAGTTGGATTTGCACTGTTCCATTATATTATAAATTACTAGTACACATTACTAGGACCCATGTAAATGATTAACTTTTAAATAAGATTGATTTTATCCTGGTTTTGTTGTTCTAGTACTATGAAACTCAGATCTTACTGCTTTGTACTAAGCTTTCTATGGCAAAATGAAACAAGTATAATAAAGCTTTTTACAAAATTTGACAGTTTCACTCATGCAGTATAACTCAGATTTAACAAGATACTACTAATAATAGTCTTGCTGACGACCTAACCATTAAAGAATTAAGATATTTTGAAATGGGATAAGATGATATTTTGCTTTGGTGATGGAACTAAAATTGTCCATAAAATATGTGTAACTGCCCCACCTCCCTCCGCTTCCCTGGGCCTGCACGACCGGAAGTCCTCTCTCTGACCTGCATGCCTCTCTCCAGGGTAAGTCTATCACACCCTCTGCACCCCCAGCCTCATTCACTCTCCCCCTCATTCACTGCCCCCCCCAGCCAGGGTCCTGACCCATTCTTTGCTTTGGCGCCCCAGGCACCAGGGGAACCACCACTGCTTCCTGATCCTTTGCATCCAGAACAACCCAGTTCCTTCTCTGGTCCCCATGAGCACTCTGGGCCTGGCCCAGCCCTCATCTCCCTCTACTTCCCTTGGCCTGCAGGACACCAGCCTCTTTCCTGAAGGCCAGGGCTGATCTTTCCTCTTCCTGATCCTTTGCATCCAGACCAACACAGCTCCTCAGTGCAGTCCCCAGGAGCCATTGGAGCTTCTTCCCACCCCCATCTTCCTTTGCATCTCTGGGTGGCACCACCTCCAGCTGCCCTAGATGAGCAACTTTCCTGGGCCTTGCTCCCAGGCCAGTCCAACCCTCAAATTCCTGAGGCCAAAATCTTTCCTGGAGGGACCCAGACCTTAGTAGAAAGCCTGAGAGCATCTGATCCTCATCTGACTTGGGCCTCTGTAGGAACACCTGAAGACAAAAGCAATCTGGCCACTCCAAAATAAAATCAAAAGAGAGAACTGGAAGCTTAGAGAAACCAGCCTTGCATGCCCAAA